TATAAAACTGAGAATCTCTTTGAACGTCGGTGGGTTTTTTTTTTCCTTTCGCACTAGGTGGGCGTGTAGCCTACATATTTTATTTATGCGCGCAAATATGTATGCAGGAATGTATACATGTAACACTTCGGGATGACAGGCTGTTGGAAGGTTACATGAAACAAAGCACGCTGGGTTTTTTTCTCCAGCACGTATTCTTTTACAGTGTTGACCCCTGGCGTTCTGTACCTTGTGAATCTAGCACGATGTGCAGCACATAATATCGTTATCATTATGGCTTCAGTTATAAACACAAAATTTTAATGGAGTTTCAATAGGGTAAGGGGTTGGGTACTCCGAAAGAACCATCATCAAAGTAAGTATTATGCATCCAACACAAAAATGTTCCAAAGATTTGGTTTGTTATATCACATAAATTCAGGCAATTTATACCGGCGGTGTGCATGCCACCAACAAGAAAATATTCAGAAATAAATAAAAAAGCAAAATTAAATGTCTAGCTTCTCGGCTAACACTTCAGATCTCTATAGAGTTGCATGCTGTGTGATTTGGAATTTACTTATCAGAACGAGCCTTTTTTTTCTTCTTTTTTTTTGGGGTGGGGGGTGGGGGGTGGGAGGGGTGCTTTTTTGTTGAGTAACGTGTTGTGTTAAAATAATAATGGCAAAATCTCTTAAATTCCCATCACTTCGCACGAAGTTCAGCCTTCGAATCAAAATCTCTGCCCTTTTTTTCTTTTCTTTCTCTTCCCTTTCTTTCGTTTTATCCGATTTCCCGGTGGAGAACGCACTTAAATTGAAAAACAGACCCGGGCGAAGTTCTATGTTGGCCGAAATTCTAATCACAGTGTTGCTTGTTAACGCATGAGTCGAACATAGCCGAGAACTAGGTGAACTGGCGAGCAGCTGGGGGGAAATATACTTTGAATGAAACTGACACGGGGTGGAGTTGTTCTGTTGGTGCAGTCAGTGACAGAGATTGAGAGAGGGGAGGGGGGTAGAGAAAAGGAGAAAGGAAGGAGAGGAGAGAGAGAGAACGGGAGAGAGTGAGCGAGATA